TATTTATTTATTTGTTTATGCATTTATTCGTTTATTTGTTTATATTCACATATTCACATATATCATATACAAAGATGCATAGACCGTGATATGCTTGTATGTACATGTGTGTATCCATATATCAAGACACACACACACACAGATAGACAGATAATTAGACAGATAGATAGTCAGATAGATTGATAGATAGATAGATAGGTAGGTAGGTAGGTAGGTAGGTAGGTAGATATAGATAGATAGATAGATTGATTGATAGATAGGTAGATAGGTACATTGATAGATAGAAAACCTTGAAGAAGCAGCCCTCAGAGGAACCCTTGAAGGAGCCATCGCAGGAAATGGAATCCAAAACGAAAACCCTCAGAGAACCCCTGACAGGGCTTCCTTAAAAGGAACCCCTTGAGGGACATGCTACAGTATATGGGCAGTTCTCTAAATTACGGTCCCTTTTTTGGGTGTCCGTTTTTATAAGGGTGCCGAACTATATTTGGGACCCTAAAAAGGGACCCTAAGTTAGAGAACTACCCATATTCACACGACAAGGTCGAAAGGCAGCTGCTGAGCTCCTTTATAAGCGCCCAGAAGCCGAACCCTAACACAAATCGAACCTCCGCTGTGGGCTTAGGGTTTAGGGTTTAGGGGTGATTTGTCAGTGAAACCCTAGACCCGAAGCCCTTAAACGGCCTTAAACGGATAGGCAGTAGAAAAAACCCTGACCCTTTAATCAGCCCGCATGTCTGAGTTCATTCGCTACTCTGGGCTCAGCAGGATCTCACCCCTATAGAATGAACCCAAGCTATGGAATCTCCAAAGCTCATTCCGTTCACGACGCAGCCTCCACCATTCGAAGACCGGCCCTGGCAACTATGGATCTTATTGCTAGAGAGTCTACATCCTCCAGCTTTAACAGCCAAAACTTACGTCTTAAGTCTGAAGCCCTTGTTGAAGCTTTCTAAACCCTTCAAAACCCAAAGACACTCAAGCCCTGCGCCTCTAAACCCTTAAGCTTATAAGCCCTCACCCCCTAGAGCCCAACCCCCGCAAACCCTAAAGCCAAAATCGCCCAAAGCCCTGCAGAGACGGATGTAGCGCCCTTATACGCAACCTGTAGAAACCCTAAAACCCCTAAACCCTATAAAACATTTGCCTAAGACCAAACTTTAGGTGATTGAACCCAAACCTTTATATGGAAACCTTATCTTTCAAAGCCCTAACCCCCGAAACCCTAGTTAAAGCCGTAACCCTGAAGCCCCAGCGAGTGGCTGCCATGCTCCTTTGTCGCCTGCGCCCCGCCGCCCTGGGGCGAAGAGACGTTTCGCAGCAGCTCGAGGTGAAGGATGCAGTGGCGGAGATGCTGCTGAGGTCTGGGGGTTAGAGGGTGTTGGGGCTTAGGGCGCGTTTAGGGATTATGGAGGTTGGGGACTTTTGGGTTTGGGCTGTTGGGGTTTAGGGAATTTGGGCTTTCAGGTGTTGGGGTTTAGGGCTTAGGGCTTGGGGCATACGGGTTTAGGGAGTTGGGTTTAGTGTGTTGGAATTTTTAGGACCCAGGGGTTTACATAGAGATTTGGGGTTCGGGGATTTGGTGTTTAAGGATTTGGGTGCAGGGTGCTGGGGTTCAGGGGATTCGGGTTTTGGGCTTCAGATTTGGGGCATACTGGTCTGGCATTTGGGTTTAGGCGCTTTTAGTGTGCTGGGTTTTTGTTTAGGGTTCGCGGATTAGGGATTTTAGGATGCAGGGTTTAGGGATTTGGGTTTAGGTTGCTCCAGGGGTGTAGGAATTTGGGGTTATTTAAGGTTTAGGGGACAGGGGTGTAGGAATTGGGTTTAGGGTGTTGGGGTTTAGGGCATCGGGCTTGCACAAGGTTTAGCATTGGGGTTTGGGGATTTGGGTTTAGGGTTGCTGCACTGTGGGTCTTCTCTAATCAAAGGATGTCGGGGTTGCAGCTTAGGGCTCAGGGTTGCTGCAAGGTTGCGAAAACACTTGCAGCCACATAGAAGCCAAGAGGATGGCAGGCACCTGGCTTAGGATTTCCGCTTTCGCTCGCTGCGTCAGGCTGACGTGGTGTCAACCCGAGCTGCAAAGACCCTACACACCTTTGCAACCACGGTTCAGGGTGCAAAAGACTGAAAGTCTTTTTTAACCCTAAACCCTAAACCTTCAGGTATGGTAGTGCGGCTCGATGCTGGGGGCTCAGGGGGCCATCCTGATCACCCATCTACCGACCGATCTACGCACCTACTTATCTGTTGACCTTTCTATTCCGTCGATGCATCCATCTAGCTACCTGCTCAAGTCTCTATCAATCCACCTGGCTGTCTGTCTAACTATCTATCGGTCCAACTGACTGTCTGCTAACTAGATGGCTAGCCAGCTGCCAGCCAGCTAACGAGTTTGTGCGTGCTTGCACACATACATGCATGCATACTTATTTGTATATACAGAGACAGAGAGGGCGAGCGAGCGCGAGAGAGAGAGAGAGAGGGAGAGCCTTTTGCCCTTCAGCACTCCAACCTTGCAGCGCTGCACCCTACAACTGACCACAAGCCCGGCATCTCACAGTTGGCAACCCCGGAGCTCCCACCGTTAACGCCCAAACTCTCTCATTACCGAACCCCGTGGATCCTAACCCGAGCCCGAGGCCCGAACAAATTGACTGGAGTCTCGCTACGGAGTCTAACTTAAGTTGAAAATTGAAAAGTTGTAACAGATCTTACGCTGGCAACTTCAACCCAAAGGCTTTCACAGTAACCCGTTTTGGCATGTGAGGCTGGAGCGCGGTGTCAGCCAGGACGAGCACGGCCAGCGCTTTGCCTGCGAGTTGCATCTCGCATCCGTGCCAGCCATCCCAGGCTCAGAGACTGTGGGCTTGCGGGTATCGGAATGAGGGTTTAAGATATTTGGGTTCATGTTTTAGGGTTTGCCTCAAACTCCAACCAGAAAGCCTCCTTTCCTTTGTAGCGAGATGGTATCTTGAACCTCTGTCAACTGCAAAGATGGGGTTTGGCATATCGGGGTCTACTGCAGAGCCCCACTAAGTCGCTCAAGGCCAAAGCTTGCATCTGTGGTACGACCATTTTCTGGAACATATCTTTTGTAATTACTTCGTGTCTCGTATATACCCCGAGACCGGGCCCAAACTCGCTCTCAAGTCGTTTCCCCTACGGCCGTAAACCCTGTGCCTACGATTTGGCCCCCAAATGCGGCCCACATCCCCCAACCCGAAGCCCTAAGCCCGAAATGCTGAAACTGATACCTGGTTAAAGCACGAGACCATGTAAACCCGAAAGTAGAGACGGCAAAGCCGAAGCCACGAAGCTGGCCGGCGGCTCTCACGCCCTCACCGAAGCCCCCTCGACTGTCAAATCTGCACCTAGCACTTCAGCCCCCGAAGACCAGGTCCACAGAATCCTAAGCAACATGCCACAATACGGCCCAAAACCCTAACGAATCGAAACTCTGGGCATTTAGCCCTGGAGGAAGGCATATCCACAACATCACGCTAATAGTCCCTATGCTAACATGGGTCGTTCTTTTTCAGGTCCCCCAAACTAATGCGGCACCTTTATAAAATGTACCCTAAAAGGGAACCCAATTTAGAGCACTACCCATATGGTTCCCCATGGGTAAAGAACTCAAGTTCTTCTCCGAGCCCTTATCCCCGACCTCGAGGATTTAGGGTTCAGGGTTTCAGACCGGGTCAAAACTGAAACGCCCTAAACCCGAAACCTTAAACCCCAAACCCTAAACCCCGAAACCCTAAACCTAGCCCCAAACCCCCGCTCGAGCGCACCGCCGCGAGGGCCAAGGCTGGCAGCAGTGGCCTGCCAGAAATTGGGACCTACTTGGGCTTTTCCCAGCTACTCGGCTTACTCCATAAGTTTACGTTTTAGGGTTTTGGGTTTAGTTAGTTAGGGTTTAGGGTTTAGGGTTAGGGTGCGCAGGGTTTAGGATTTAGGGTGTAGGGTTTAGGTTACGTACTACGGTTGATGACATAAATCTTGCACTACAGATAATACGGAATATACTATAATTCGCGTCCTTAAGGTAATGCAGGATTTATATCATCAACCGTAGGTTCTATCAGGCTTCTATCAAGATTCCAGCAGTTCCAGAGCTTTCAGGCATCAAAGGCCGGGTGTATTCAGGTTCCGGATTCGGCTTATGTAGGGGTTGAATGTTCGCGCTTGAGTGATTGCTTTAGGATTTAACGTTCAGGTTGAGGCTTAGGGTTGGGGTGCAGTGTGTGTTCTGCTGTGGAGCTCTTTAGTGGTTAGGCTTCACTATAGGTCCAGAGGTATCTGAGACTGTAGTTTTGGGACTTGGGCTGTAGGTCTGCGGGAGTTTGCTAAAGCATCAGGGTGTATGGTTTAAGTCTCAGGCGATGGAAGGGGCACCTCAAAACTGAAAAACCCGTGTAGAGCCCCTCGACCTCTTGAAACCGAAGTCAGGATTTCTGGCTGACATTTCGTCTACTGCGGGTCTGGGCTTCACCGCGTGCCTCAAAAATTCTACGAACTTCGAAACAGTTCCTGAAGCCCAAATCCCGGACTCTAGAAGCCCCCGAAGCTTAAGACGTGTATAGACAAGTCCTCTGGGGCCTACGCCTTGTTTCATAGTATTACCTTGTAGCCCCCGAAGGATCGGGTTTTAAAGCCTCCGCGAGCCTTCCGCAAGCCTCTCGAACCCAGCCCGACCCAAACCCAAAACCCTGGTGAAGGGTCTATAGGGCTTAGAGTTTAGAGTTTAGGGGGTTTAGGGTCTGTAGGGTTTAGAGTTTAGGGTTTAGGCTTTTTTCGACCAAGCTGGAAGCTGCAGCCTCTGGCTCTTCACATCGGGAACCGGTCAAACCAGTAGTACCTGAAACCTAGAAGCCCAAACCCTAACCCCAAAAACCTAAACCCCTAAACCCTATAAACCCTAAACCCTTAGAAGCCTCAGATCCTCCCTAAACCCTCCTAGGCGCGCAACCTCCACCCTTCAGCGTCATAAGCAGATCTAGACCAAGGCTTCGGCCGTTGCCATCTCGTGACTCAGGACGCCCGGCAAGGTCGCAGCCTTTCTATCGGGGGTTTAGGGTTTAGGGTTTCGGCGCAGCCTTTCTTTAGGGGAGCGCAGCATGCAAGGGGTTGTGGATAAAGGCTTTCAGGGTTTTGGGGATGTTTTAGGGCGTATGCAAAAGCTAGACAACGAGAAGTCTCTCAACAGGGTCTAAGCCGGAAGTGAGATGATTGAAAGGAATCTTTCCTGATGGACTAGATTTCGAAATCCTCTTACCATATCTATGAGAATGCGTTTGCAAAGGATGCATCAGCTCGAATGTTGCTAAGCGTTGAGCTTAGGATCTATAAGCCGGAAGTGAGATGATTTAGAGGAATCTTTCCTGATGGACTAGATTTCGAGATCCTCTGACCATGTCTATGTGAGGCGTTTACAAAGGATGTATCCGCTTGAATATTGCTAAGCGTGCAGCTTTACATCACATAGGGGCCTTGATTAAATAATTACCTATACCTATACTACTTTGGGGTTTGGGGGTTCCTCATTATAGTATAATATACCCCAAAACCCTATTCTAGTTAGTAAGGCCTCTTGTATTAGCGGCTCATTGGGGGATCCCAGGTCTGGCTAGGACCCGTCAGGGCGAGTACGATAGCGGTTGACAGCGGATTGAAACCTGCAACTGTAGGGTTAGGGCTTAGAGTTTAGGGCTTAGAGTTTAGGGCTGAGGGCTTGGAGTTTAGGGCTTAGGGTCTGGGGTTTAAGGTTTTGGGTGACGATCCCAGAGTTGCCCGAAGTCCTCTTAGTACACGTGCTTTAGGCCTTTTAAAGTCAGTCTTCGTACGTACTTAGAATTAGGGCCAATCCAGGCCGTTGCTGAGTGCGTTGTTGGGACTTCTGAATTTCATGGCTACTGGAGATGAAAAGGGAAGGAATTGACAGCTAAAGCCCTAAACCCTAAGCCCTAAACCCTAAAGCCTGCCTAAAACACTAGGTGTTTGGGATCCCCAGGTCACTGAGGTTTGGTGAAAGTTGCAGTGCGCCAGCAACTGGATTCTTGGTATCCTTCTCGTGCTTCCATCATGGGTTCGCAGGTTTAGACTGTTCTGGATTTGAAGCCTGTGAAGTAGCTTGAGAGCGTAAGCCTCCTGTTACTGCAAACCCTAAACTTTTCCTAAACCCTGAAGCCCTGACACCTGGAAACCTTCCCATCCTAAATCCAACAAGGCATTAAGGCCTAGGCCCCCACTTAAACCACAACGCTCTACGACTCTACGACCCAAAAGCTCCGAGGACGTCCAGTCACTGGGTCAAGAAGACTTGGACGCGGCTGCTCCTGAGTCACTGTTTAGCCTTTGCAAGTTTCGGGTTTAGGGGCTTAGGGTTTAGGGGCTTTGGGTTTAAGATTTAGGGTTCGGGGGTTTTTGTGTTCTCTGCCTATCCGGCGGTCAAGGTGCGGGAGGCCATATTCAGCACCGTCGCTGCGGCACGGGCAGAAGGCTTCCATGTTCAAGTCTGCCGGCACGACCTTTTCCACGGTCACCTCTTTCGCGGTGAACGCGGGGAGGTTGGCATCTTACTTCATGCATGTGAATACCCATCGCAGAACGATGACTTTCCGGTGAATCTGGGCTTCTGCCAGGCAGACACCCAGGTGGGAGGTGCAGAAAGTAAGGGAATCGAAAAGCCTTGATTTATCATAGTGAGCCAAGTTAGAGCCTCCAGGTGAAGTACGAGGATACGGTGATGCAGCACCGCAACATTCTGCTCCTCTTCTCTCGACGTCTTCGCGCGTTCGTCCTCGATGCCGAGTCTGATTGCGTCAAGGCGCTGATTCCGGAGTACGCTCGAAAGCCGATGTACACACTCTACGAGGACACCCTGGGGGAGCCTCTGGCAGACATGTACTTCTTGTCGAGCGAAGAGAAGCTCGGCTGGGTGCAAAGGCGCAGCTCCAAAGTACACCTCTGACGATCGGCTTGAGCCGTGTGCAGGAAAAGAGCAGGTCTCGAGCAGGTCTCAGAGACCCCAGTATATTCACCCCAAATCCCTAAACCTCATTCCCTGAGCCTAAACCCTAAACGGACCCTAAATCCTCTAAACCCCCTACACCCTAAGCCTTACCCGAAGAGCCCAGTTATACCCGTACAGCATGCTACTGGGTTCTGGGTACTACATATAAGGTTTAGCCAATAGAGTTTAAGGGACCGTAACCCCCTAAACCGTAAACCCTAACCCCTAAACCCTAAACCCTAAATCCCGAAACCCTAAACCCTAAACCCGAAACCGAAACCGTTCCTTCAGGCCGCCGACTTGGGTTCGTGACCTGGGCGCTGCCGGGGCTACTCTGACTGGCGGTCGCCGGGCCTCCTCTTTTTGTAGACACCGGGGACTTTGGGAGCGTAGCTTTGGGGGTTTAGGGTTTAGGGGTTTAGGGTTTATAGGGCTTATAGGGTTTAGGGTTTAGCGGTTTAAGGGTTAAGTTTAGGGGTTTAGGGTTTAGGAGGGACTTTGGGAGCCTAGCTTTGGGGTTTCAGGGTTTAGTGGAGGTCAGAGGCCTAGTTGGGCAAAGTTGTGGGAGCTCAGTTTGGTTTAGGGCAGAGTTTAGGAGGTTTTGGCGAGTCGGAGGGTCATCCAGGGCTCCAAGGCCTATAGTGCGGTGCTCCAAGGGTTTCTACAATGAAGCTCATAGTGGTTCGAGGGTCTATGGCTTGCGCATTGTGTCCAGGTAACGTGGGCCTTTCAAGTGAATCGGACTTTGGGTTTTTGCCTAAAGGTCCCAGGGGTTTAGAACTTCGTTCGCAGGGCTTATTATAGGGCTTCCGACACGTAGTATTGTCAGAAATTCCGAGGGTACGCCAGGCTTTCAAGTTTTAGAGTTCAGGGTTGAGGTTCAGTTTTGCTGGTCCAGGAGCTCCTATGCAACCAGACAGCCGAAAGATATGCCCTGCACATTGATGGCCAGCAAGAACCCCACAATCCAAACCTACGCACGGACCCCTAAACCCTAAATCGCCTAAACCCTAAATCCCATAAACCCTTTAAATCCTTTCCTCTAAAACCCCAAACCCTAAACCCTATATAAACCCTATTAAATCCGTCATCTAAAATCCTACATGAAGCTAAGAACCTTCGACGCCCCTGAACCCCACGAAACCCCGAGCCGCCCGAAGTCGACCACGACAGTCGGAGCCTCAGGTTGTCTCCTGCCGCGTGACAAGGCGGGAGCAGACCCTAACCCTCCAGGTACCTACTACTATAGAGGGTACTAGAGCCCCTACGGTGGATGATATGAATCCTGCATTGCCCCCAATAATGAATATACCGTAATTCCCATAGTTTAGGGACCTTGAGGTAATGCAGGATTTACCCGCCTTGATCTTCCCCATTCCTCGTGCCACAAGCGCCGTATTCCAGGCTCATGGCACGGCCGTCATCGCCGCTGCCCAGGCGCTTGAAGAGCTCTTCAGGTGTAGGCTTGAAGGCTACTGTTCATGCATGTGGGGTTGAGTAGGGTTTAGGGTTTACATAGGGGTTTAGGGTTGAGGATTTACGTCTTTTTAGGGCTGGGGCTTTACATTGTCAGAGCTTTGTGTTTCAGGTTGACCTCCCGTGATATTCCGGCGGAGCAGGCATTCGGCTTAGAGGTTCAGGGTACGGGGTGTCTCTACCTGTTGGTGGAGGCTCGATCTTATGAAGGATTGCCAGGGCTGGTGAGGACAGGAGTCAGCATAGACCCGCGACCCTGTGCTGATTTCGGGAATTGAACCCAAGCTGACAAGCTACATTTATTTTCGGGTTGCTCAGCAGATTCAAGGGGCTTCCAAGCGAAAACTTCTACCGCACTGACTCGATGCGTCTGTGATGCCTTGACTCTTGACACCGATCTTTCCAGGCAAAGGGGTCTGAATAATAAGCACCCATATACTCACAACCCAGAATCCGTGTATTGGTCCCGATATTGCAAGCCCAGTGCTGCATGATGTCAGGCAAATCAAGTTGCAGAACGCTTCGCACGCCAGAGCGCCCCTGCGGATTCGAGCCTCGTCGCTTTGTTAAGTCAGGGTTTTGGGTGGAACCCTGCATTGTTTGCAGTGCACAAAACATGATAGGACAGGCTAAACTCCAAAACCGGTAGGAGCCAGGTTGATCCTGAGCCCTATATCCCCTAAATCATTTAGGAGGATGGTTGCGTCGGGTTGGGCCCGAAGGTTAGTTCTTAGGCTTCAGGGGTCGTGGGTTTAGAGTTGGGGTTTCCAGTAGTTCTTGTAAACCCGACCAACCTGAACCCTTCACTGTCCTACACCCTTAGCCCGATACCCCAGATCACTCCATCCCATGTGTGCCTCTCCCCTGCCTCAAGCGTGGCACCCCAGGACCCCGGCCACAGCGTCGAACTTTCTCTGAGAACCGTCGGCGCCTTGAGTTGAGGGTTTGTGGCCTCAGGCTGGAAGGCGTGTACAACCGGGGGGGGGGGGGGGG